CTATGTCTTATTGTAGGAATGGAGACCATGCCTGAACCGCAAACTTAAGATGTGGGCGTATTAATGTTGTATAGAGCTTTTTTACTATGTTTACATATAAATTTTTAAATGTTCTCTTTATGATACCTAGCATTCTGTTTGCTTTGCTTAGTTTCTGAATCAACTTGTGAGTGCCATTTTAGATCTGATTGAGCCATTATACCTAAATCATGTTCAGCTTCTGTGTTACATAATGTATAATTATAATTGCAATCAATATCAGTCATTATAAATGTAGCATTTGGATTTTCTTTCCCGATATGCATAATTTTGCATTTTTTATAATTAAATTTTGTTAGCCAGATAGACCATGCCATTATATTATTTATATCATTTTGAAGGCTTATTGATTCACTTGGATTTTTTATGTTTATTATTTTACTATCATCAGCATAAAGTTTGATAGGGTATAAATATACATACATACATCAGGCTTTCCCAGGAAAGGCGTGCGGTCGCACGCCTTGTTTGTCCACGCATAGAATCCACGCATAGAATAAATTTTTCTGACTAACTGACCATGTTTTATTATGCGCTTCAAGAATTTGCGCCAAAACAAAGCTAAACAAAAATACCGCAAAAATGCAAACAATCTTAAAGTAAATAAAAGAAATCTGTTTGTGCTTTCAAATTTAAAAATTAATGTATATAATTAAAAAAAAAATTTACCTATATTTTATTGTTTTTGTTTTTTAGGGCGGTAGTTATTTTAGCTATGAAAAATCAAATCAATAAAAAAAATAAAATCAATAAGAAAAATCAAATCAAAAAGGAAAAGATTATTGTTTAATGAAAATAAAAGGACCTTTTACTGTAAAATTTGTTCATGACTTTTATCAGTCAGTAATACTTTAAAATTCACGATAGAACTTTAATTAATTTTTAAATGTTTCGTAAATACATTTAAATGTTTAAATGTATTGATACGCAAGAAAGCGCGAAAACGATTGCTATTTATTTGTAAAATATGTTTTTTTTCAATTTTCAAATGAAAGAAAATTTTATTGTCAAACGACTGGTTTGCTTATTTTGCAATCATTAATTGACATTGTGAACAAGTGTTATTAATAAAGTGTAATATATAATAATGTCCCGAAGGAACTGTTTTCGTAACAATGACAACAGAAGCAATGCAATTATTTTTTTAACTTCTTTCAGAATTACAAAATTATGCAATTGAATAATTTCAACGTAATAAAAGGCGAGCATTGACTCAGTATAATCAGTTTAGAATAAGTCGAGAGAGAACTTTTTTCACATTAAAATTTTGTTATCTTTAAAATCTCAAATAATATATTTAACAATTAAAATAGCAATTTATTTTCTATACTTTCTATATTTTCTATACTTTCTATATTTTCAATACTTAGACAATACTTGTCTAAGTATTGGGGAATAACGTCATCGCCTTTGCATAAACCTTCGTAAAAACTAAATTAAATGAAAAAATTTAATCAAATCTGTCTAGCGTAAATAATGAATCAGTTTTTTTAATACATTATCTGATAAAGTTAGTGAATAAATTACGTATCAAGTCTTTTTATTTTCGTAAAAACTTTATGATTTATTGTCGCCTTTTCCTTGACTTGTATCAAATTTCGTAGCTGAAAATAGCAACCCTAAAAAAAGAAAACAAAAACAGTATAAAAACATTGAAAAAATGTTCACAACTTTTTTTTTTTTTTTTGTTACAAGATTTTTTTTTTTTTAAATTTTTTTTTTATTATCAAAATATTTTTCTTACATCTAATTTCAATTACGCTTTTGAGAAACCCCGCTCCCCCCATACCTGCGTACGTACTTTATGGATGGCCTCATATTATTTATCATTAATATTAAATATCATTAATATATATATATATATATATATATATATATATATATATATATATATATATATATATATATATATATATATATATATATACTTTGTTTAGATATATATATTTGTTTATATATATATATTTGTTTATATATATATATTTGTTTATATATATATATATATATATATATATATATATATATATATATATATATATATATATATATATATACTTTGTTTAGATATATATATTTGTTTATATATATATATATATATATATATATATATATATATATATTATATATATATATATATATATATATATATATATATATATATATATATATATATACTTTGTTTAGACTTAGTTTCCTTTTTTTAATATTATTTATTCTCTGTGGATAAGTTTCACTTTTCCACGAAATATTGTCGCGGTCACGTTTTCTGAAAAATTTATTCTATGCGTGGACAAACAAGGCGTGCGACCGCACGCCTTTCCTGGGAAAGCCTGATACATACATATATATATATATATATATATATATATATATATATATATATATATATATATATATATATATATATATATATATATATATATATGATATATATATATATATATATATATATATATATATATATATATATATATATATATATATATATACTTTGTTTAGACTTAGTTTCCTTTTTTTAATATTATTTAATATTATTTATTCTCTGTGGATAAGTTCCACTTTCCCACGAAATATTGTCGCGGTCACGTTTTCTGAAAAATTTATTCTATGCGTGGACAAACAAGGCGTGCGACCGCACGCCTTTCCTGGGAAAGCCTGATACATACATATATATATATATATATATATATATATATATATATATATATATATATATATATATATGTATATATATATATATATATATATATATATATATACATATATATATATATATATATATATATATATATATATATATATATATATATATATATATATATATATATATATATATATATGTATGTATCAGGCTTTCCCAGGAAAGGCGTGTGGTATAAATATCATTAATATATATATATATATATTAATGATATTTAATATTAATGATAAATAATATGAGACCATCCATAAAGTACGTACGCAGGTATGGGGGGAGAGGGGTTTCTCAAAAGCAAATGAACGCATACAAGGGGGGAGGGGTGTTAAAGACAGTGAGTATGTATGCGGTTGACTATATCTCATAAACTTGATTTTATTTTTTTTAAAACATTGAGTTTCACATGTGTAACAAATCAGAGTTGATTTTTTTTCTCTGACTTTAGTCACAATTTTTTTTTTATAATCTCTATAATCAATGAGTTCATTTAAAAAAAAAAAGTTATGCGTACGTACGTAGAGGGGGGGGGGGGGCTTTTGAAAGCGAACAGGTTCGTACAAGGGTGAGTCTTAAGTCAGTGGTTTTACTGTGTAAGTACTTTATTGATGCCCCCTATTCAATAACCTAATGATTGTAAATTGTTATCCATTGATACTAAATAATGAATATTTTTCAAATTAGTTTGCTAAATATTTACAAATAAAAGAAACATACAAACTTGAAGAAATTAAAAAAAAAGAAGCTAAAAATAAAATAAAAGTTGTTTTAACTTTTTTTTTTTAACTTTTTAAAAATAATATCATATAAAGTATTTAATAATAAGTTTATAAAAATAATGTATTTTTTAAGCGTTGTTAAATACACAATAAAAAATATTGAGTATAGTAAACATTAATTCTATATATTCTATTAGATTCTATATTTTTCAGCAAAACTTAAATATTATTTTCAAAGATTTTAAAAGTGTTTTTAATATACAAATAAGCATTACTTTAATTTAAGAAAAATAAGAAAAATAAAAAAAAATCACGCTATAGAAAAAAGCAATCGTAATGTTTAAGCATGGTTTCTTTTTAAGTAATTGCAAATGCATTCATTTTAAGTAAAATTTAGCATGCTTTGCTTAACGCATGCAAAAACCATGAAAAAAACATAATTACTATCGTGGATAGCTCTCAACACTAACGCTATGGAAAAAAATAATCATATTTTAGCATGGTTTCTTTTAATGTCTTTAAAATGCATTTTAAATTTTAGTAGCTAATTGTTTTTTATCATAAATATGTTTTTTATAATAATTTTTTATAAAAAATAAAAATTTATCAATTGCATAATTATTTGGAAAAAATTGCTGAAGTAATGCATGTGTTTTTAAAAATTTTAAGCAAACCCCAACATTTACATATACAAAAATATAGAAACATGATGTTCATTTAAACTACGAAAGCGCAAACTAAAGTTTGCGCTTTCGTAGATTTGTCGCACTATGTCAAGCATACGTTTGTAACGTTAATATTACAAGAATATATACATAACAAGTGTCATTTATTTATTATTGATGAGCATTGTTTTTACTGCTTATAAAAAAAGTTAATGTTTTCTTTTTGTAAAAGAATGCAGGCATTTTAAGAATTATTTTAAAAAAATTATTAAATTGACTGCGTTTTTTATTTTAGTTACAATGATAACTATACTTCATATAGAAAAACTTTTACTTTTGCGAGAGCCATAAATTGATCCTGTAAACGATTTTAGGGGAGTGTGAGCTAGAGATTTTTTTTTTAGGCTTGCTGAGGCCTAAAAAAAATCTCTAGCTCACACTCTTTTGCTTTTAGATAACTTATGATACCTTTTTGCTAGTCATAACAATTGAATCGATTATTTCAGAAACCTGTCAAATGCCAAAATTTAAAAAAATGAGTTAGGTTCAATTTATTATTCTTTAAAGATAGACACATCGTTTTCTGCAGAAACCTGTCAAGTACCGAATATCCATAGCTATTAAATTTATGGTCAAATAGTGTGTTAAATGCAGAAACCCGTCAAGTGACGGTGCTTATCGGCTTTCTGTGATAAACTGTGGGAATTTGTATTCTGATGTATTTATAAATTGTATTCATTATTAATCGAGCTAGAATATTGTATTCTTTTTCCATTTAATATTGTTTTAACATGTGTTTGTTGTTGATAATATCTTTGACAATACAATTATTTGATATTACTTGATCAAAAGTGTGCTAAAACACGTGTTAGTGATTTAATGTTTTGTAATATTATATTTATTTTTAATAGTCTTTATTAAGGTGAAAAATAATGTCTAGTACAGAAGAAGACGAACCTCAACTTAAACGGAGACGTGGAGTGGTTCATGAGGAAAATTACCAACGCAATAAACACAGTTGTGCGTTTTCTGTTAAACCTATGTGATAGGAAAAAGTTTTCAAGTATCATTCACAATTTTCCTGTTCAAGGACATTCCTACTCGGCCTGTGATCAAGACTTTGGTACCATAAAACGTTTGTTAAGGCAAGTTGACCGTATATATACATGCTGAACTTATTTTGAAGGCTAGTACCAAAAATCATTTTTCAGTTTACCAAGTGAAAACAGAAGACATTTTAAGTTTTAAGCAGTGGTGGCCAAAATTATACAAAAAAATTACGAATTCTTATGAAACATTTGGAAGAGGGGTTCCAAAAGAAGAAAAAGAAAGTTAAGAAAGCCATCTCTGAGTTACCCTCAGAGATGGGTTACTCTTCAGGACAGGTAAATTTATGTAAAAATTCATACTTTCTTTACTTTTAACTTATCTTTAGGTCAAATTTTTTATAGGTACCCATTAACAACAAAAAGATGGTCGATTTGCAGAAACTAAAACCTTACTTGATTGGGTACGAACACTTTTATGACCGAATCTTTGAATGGACAACCACAGATAGAGAAACTCGTGATGATCCCGTTGGAGATTAGCAAGCGTATATTTGATACTTGTACTTGTATTTTCTTTTTAATAATAATAAAAACTTAACCACTATAATATTGGTTTTATAATATTAATATCCAAATTACCTTGCAATGATAAAATTATGTTTTACAGGTTAAACTATGATAAAAATGGTTATTTACTGCAGAAACGCGTTAAGTACAACATTTGTATACATTTATTATGTCCAAACAGTTACAAAAAAAAAAAAAAAAAAAAAAAAAAAAAATCATAAAAAGTACTGTTTTATTAAGTACTACCGTGAAAAAAATATGAGAAACCAAGAATAAAAAGCATTGTCTTGCTGGGAAAGTTTTTTCAAGTTTTCTCAAAATCAGAAAATTTGCACATAATGGGTTACTGAAATAATTGATTTAGTTGTAGTAAACATTCTTAAAACACTTTCCATATCAAGAAATAATATTGAAATATAGTACAAAGAATGTATGAAAATATGTATTTAAACCTTTTATCTAAGAAGTGACAAAATCATTTATATAACATTAAACAAAATCTTTCAAAATGTAGTACAATAAGTAATAGTATTACATTTTGTAATATGAAATTTACTTTTGCTTCAACAAATATTAAAATACAAATACATACAAACCTCCTTCTCTCCCTCTCCCCCCTTATCTCCACAAAATTGGTATGAAAAAAATAAAATTAGGTACCAAAAGTG